GACATGCATACATGTTTAGATCAAATCTACCCCCTTCCCTCTCCTTGCAAACCTCTCTCCTTGCACCTTCATGTTCTCTCTCTCTTTTCCTCATACTTGCTGAGTTCTCTTCCTGTTGACTGCACAGGAGCGGGACCATCTGCTGGAACTCCGGCTGCCTCTCAGGGCTCTGCAGACGGGAGTGGTACTTCATGAACCCCTTCTCCCATCCACATGGAGTTTGTCACTAGCTTGGTGGTGTGCACACAGTCCCAGCTCTGCCGAGGTCACGTGTGCGATGACTGTGTGCCACCTCTAACGTCTTGTACTGTCATCTACTCCCTCTCTCTTACCAACTTTCTCACTCCACTTCTACGATGACCTCTGAATTTTGAGTGAAGGAGTGTGACATAGATGTCCCATTTAGAGCTGAGCATTCTACAGTATCTTAGTCTCTCAGTGCTGCTCTTTTGTGAATCTCTGTGTTGTTATCTACCGTCAAAATAAGCTCCTCTGATGAGGGTTGAGATATACTGATCTATGGGTATAAAGAGAAGAACTAAGGGGCAGTTTGTCACTACATCTGTTTAGCAGAATAAACAGTACTCTGCTCTCCTCTAGGGCCTCTGACCTAGCCAGCCGCCAGCTTTGGCCTTGTTACTGGTTCCAGGCATTGGCAGCATCTTGTACAGAGGGTTTCAACCTACCAGAAAGTGGCTGATTACTCTTAAAACACCCATGTCACTATTTTATCAGTGGATGTGTTTTGCCAAGTCAGCCATTACTGTAGCTCCCCGGGTCCACAGCTGTATAAGGCTGTTGGTGATTTTTCTCTCCCAGTGTGTGCATAGAACCTTCCAGTGTCCTGAAAGCTACCCCATGGGAACGAAACTTCTGAGGCAGTACTAGCTTAGCTTCTCCATATCTATGACTCACACGTGTGGTGTCTTTAGAAATAGGGTCTTACCATCAAGTTTGGGAGGGTAACTTAGAGTAATGGCCATAGCCTATAAGGACTGGGGAGATCTATAGGAACCTATTGACCACAACTCAAAACTGGGTAACCCACACTTGACACTGGGCCTTTATTTGATAGTTTATGGTGTCTAGTGGAGGTACACTCCCACACCCCTTTACAGGGGCATACCTTGTTTTTCTTTTCTTTTTGTTTTTCAAGATAGGGTTTCTTTGTGTAGCCTTGGTTGTTCTAGAACTAGCTCTTTAGACCAGGCTGGCCTCAAACTCATAGAGATCCACCTGTTTCTGCCTCCTGAGTTCTGGGAATAAAGGTATAAGCCACCACTGCCCAGCAAGCAAACCTTTTCTTAATTGCTCATCAGGATTATATGCCATTGGTGAGGGTGAATCACATGGCTGAGCATATATCCAAGAAATTTAGAAAATTAAATTATTTATTTTGGAAGTGAAATGGGTTTGGTGAGCATTTAGCAGTCAAGTCCCATGGAGAGAAGGGTGTGACCGCAGCGGTTAGGAACAAAGCCTCGGCCTTGGCAGCTCTAACACAGATCACAGAGTGGGCTCCTCCCCTGTCAGCATTGTCTCACTTCCAGTCTCTAGCAAAAGCTTGACTCACAAGTAGTCTGGACTTGTGTAATTTCTTTCTGGTGACAAGTTCCTCGTCTGGTCAGCACTTTAGCCTTTCCTTCTCCCAGAAAGATTCCTGGGAGAAATTCTTTGCCAAAGGGAAGGGTACGAGTACTTCTTTAGAATGTCTTCACTCCAACCAGGACACTGTCTAGGAGAGGGCCTTCACTGGGATGCCTAGCCTGTAGTCAGAGTTTTACCGCATCTGACTTCCCGGCTGTTTTCTGCTGGCCTTGATATAGGAGCCTGAAGCAGCATTCACTCCACCCCTGCTCTCAGAATACCACCTTGCGTGTTTCCATGCCTCTCCCTGTGATCTGCATGAGCCATCCAGTTCTTCCTAAATTCCTTCCCTTTCAACCCCTCCTCCAAATCTACCCAAGCTTCCCTGTCTTTTAAGATGTTGTTTACTCCGTTGTGGACATCTCCCTAACGATCCGTAGTACAGAACTAGGCATTCATTCAAGTTCTAATCCTTCGAATGTACCACTATTAACTATTGAGCACATGAGCTTACGTCAGAATTATCAAGGACCCAACACATTTCCAAAAAGATTGAGTATATTATGTGGAGAGTAAATATATTGAGAATCTAGGAGATGTTGACAGACCTAGCTTCCCCCAGGGCATGGAGTAAGTCCTGTGTTTCTTACCATCTTAAGAAACTCTCCCGTGTCTACCTGGCCTGGTTAAAACACTCAAAATGGGAGGAGAAAAGGAACGCTTTCTCCCCTCCTTTCACTTTCCAATTCTATCTGGTATCTTTTTTGTGTGTTCTTACGCATTTTGTATTGTTGTTTAAGTAACAACAGAAAATTTACTATCTTAATCATGTTTTAGTGGTTGGTAAAAGTCACATCAGCTACGCGCACTTTGTTGTATGACTGATTTCTATGGCTTTTCCATCTTCCCAAACTGTAACTCTGTACCCATGAACCACACTCCTTCCTTTCCCTAGCTCCTGACACTCTCTGTCCTACTTCCTATCCCTAAGCCCCTGGCTACTTTCTATAGCGGCAATTTCTTTGTGTCCTGGAAACTTCTCCCAAATAACCACACAGAGACATAATACTAATTACAAAGTTTCAGCTGATAGCTTCGGCTTGCTTTTAGTTAGCTATTGTAACTTAAATCGACCCATGTCTATTAACCTATGTGCTGCCCCAGGCTTGTTTACCTCATGTGTGTGCTTCCCATTCTGCTTGCTCTGCATCTCATCCTGTCTTCTCTGACTGCCCTTCTTCCCAACCTTCTCTCTGTCCCGAAAATCCTGCCTAGCCATCAGCCAATCAGCTTTTATTAAACATGAGAGCAACACATCTTCACAGTGTACAGAAGAATTATTTCATAGCACCTTTAGGTAACTCATAAGTGGAATGATATAATACTCATCCTTTCATACTGGCTTATTTAGTTTAACACGATGTCCTTAAGGGTCACCCATGGTAGAAGACATGGCAAGTTTACTTTCATTTACAAAAGCCAATTCATAATTCATTAAACATCTATGGTCTAAGCTATTCTGGAAATTTGATATAGGAAGACTGCTTAATAAGCCCTAGAGTTCTAAATCAGCCTGGACAATATAATGAGAAAACAGTTTTTAAAAGTTCATCATATTTATGCATCATACTTTATCTATTTATCTACTCAAGTGTCTGTGTTTGGCTGGTGGGTCATTGGAGGGGAATGGTGAGAAATTACATTTTCTGTCCATTCAGGAGGAAATGTGCTCAGCACATTGGAGTCTTTCAGGATGGTTATTTTCAGAGACTAAAAGAAATTGTACTTGGGTACAAAGGGAACTTATTTATTTATTTGACACAGAGTTTCACTATGTAACTCTGGCTGTTCTGGAGTCCCTATGTAGACCAGGTTGGTGACCTTCTGAGCATAGAGACATATGACATAGAGTGGGAAGGCTAAAGTTAGAAACTAGCCTGGGCAACACAGGCAGAGCCATCTCAGGGAAGAAAAAGGAGTGCGCAAACAAACTACATAGAGAACATCTCCTGTCCAGTCAGCCCAGTGGTTCAGCCGTGCGATACTGGTTCCTAATAAAAAGCTGTTGACACTCCGGATGCCACTAACTTACCTCAGTCTTCCCAGGACCCCTTCAAATACCTCCTGTCTCTCAAAACAGGCCCATTGAGAAACGGGGTGGGGGGGAAGCCCAATTTCAAAGCAGAGCAAATAACTAAAAAGACAAGCAAGAACCCTTTTAACTGTGTGTGAGGTGTTTGGGAGAGTTTTATGGAGGAGCCCCAGGATAAGCCCTGGCCTGTCCTAGCTTTAGCAGTCTCTCAGGGTGTTTTCTATTGGAGGTAGTCTTTGGCCCTTAAAAGGGGCATCCACAAGCTTTATTTCTGCGTGTCATCATGAAAGAATCTAAAGTATCTTTACATTAACATGAGCCTTATTTTTTAGTGAGCTATTATTAGATAATGTAACTGGAATGTGTGCTAAAAGAAGAATCCAAATAGATTGCTAGAATTTTCTTTTATGAAAAAAAAATCACATCAAAAATCCTGACACTTCAAATTCCGCAGTTTTGGTTAAAGCATGCCAAATATAGCTTGCAATAGTAGATGACCTTTCCAAAGCGACATCCGCAAATTAATTGGTGCCTGAACAAAGAACTCTTTCTGCAGCTTCATGAATGTTGCCTTTATTTATTTTTTTTCTTCACAAATAGGATTTTACAAAACCGCTGTAGAGCATGTTGACCACTGACAAAACGATAACACACTTTCGGTGAGGGCCAGCGTGGACACAGGACCGCGGGATCGGCAGGGGGCTGCCCCTAGCCCGGCTCTCCTCTGGTCCCCGGCGGGGCCAGGCCGCCCCTCCCCCGCACCCGGCTCGGGTTTCAGTCTTCCGAGTTGAGCAAACTTGCTGCAGGCGGATTGGCGGCGAGCAGCTCCCTGGCTCCGGCGTCTTCCCCGCGACCACCGCTCCTTTGTGTCCCGCGGCCGCCGCCCGGGCACTGAGGTGGGGGAGGGCTCGGCGGGCCGCT